ATTTTCTTAGTTTTTTTACTGAATCCCATTTGGTTCTTTTACCCTACCTTAAGTCTATATATTTGATGCCTTTCCGTCAAATCTTGATGATCAGAGCCATCTTCATCATGCTTATCATCATCATCTTGATTATCCCTTTTGGGGACAACTTTGATGGTCTCACCAGCCCCAGCTAGGGATGTATCCAAATACTTTGCATACAAAACCAAATACTGTCTCATACTGATGTTCCTATAGAACAGCATGGTGAACAAAGAACAATGAAGTAGAAATATGAAATTTAAAAGTTAAAAGGAACATTTTGATAGTTATTTACAGTGTGAGATTAACTGTGCCTTTACTTCAAAATGAATTGAAAACCACATTGCAATTTTAACTATTTACTTTATCCTCTCCCCTTTTTCTTCTTCATTTGTTTTTTATTATTTTTTTATTTTTTAAGTAGTGGTCACTTAATCATAAAGCATAACAATCCCACAACAGTCACAATAAACATAATTTCACTTGCAACTGGGATCAGAAATATCAAGTTTATAAGTCTGACTATTTTTAAGATTCCTACAATCAACTACCATGTGGCAAAGAATGAAATTTTAATGAGCCTGTGGAAATGGCAGGAGAAGTATACAATACTAGAAATAATCAAAGGTAGAAATGATACTAATAACTGAGTCTTTAGCTTTAATGTTTAAATTCTCCATTCAGTGCTCTATACACCCTAACAACGAAAACCAGTAATCGTATAGAATAATATACCTCTGCCATTTTGATATTCAAGTCCTCAGCCAATAAATAGATGCATGGGCATGGACATCATATACTCCCTCTAATCTCATTACAATATAGCCAGTTTTCTTTTGGATCTCCTCCTGTTAATACAATTAGCAGCAATGCATAAAATAAGAATCACTTGAGAATCATTATACATATGTATAAATGAATCACTTAAGAATCAAGTAGAGGTGAACCTTGTAAACACTAATTGATATGAGACCTATAGAGTAAAGAAATATCTACATGACATGAGAAGTCACATGAAATTCCTTGGTCACATGGAAAATACAGAAAAAGTACATGCCAACCTAAATGAGACAAGAAACCAACGACATAAAGCAGCATCCAGATCAATTGGTCTGTAGAAAATTAGCAGCACATGTATAAAACCAATTTGTTTTGGACTTCATCAACAAGTTTTCTTAGCATCCCCTTGCTGAGGAATAATAGAATCCAATATCTACAGTTATCTATATAGTTAAAAGACTTGCCCCCAATAACAGATTCAGTAACAGAACATTAAGGTCATTAATGAGGTAATTAGGCTTACCTTTGAATCATTTTCATCAAAGATGTCTCCAACAAT